ATTACTACATTATTTGTAACATATTTAGGGGTGGTTAGCTTTGGTGATAGTTAAATTGATACATTGTTATCAATACATGTATAATATACATGTATTTAAGGAAATTGGTATATTATAGTTTACATGTTTGGTTCCTATGATTTTTATTGTTGTATCTAAATAAATTATATGACTCTTTTGGGTGAAATGCCACTTTAACCATTTGTTTTTAATATAAAACAGCAACACATATCAATGTTAGAGATATAGTTGAAACAAAAATAAAAACAACAATTTCAACCACACTCTCAACAATCTCACTTAAAACATGAGATCTAACTATCACTCATTTTGGTTGATAGTATGAGGTTGTTTGGTTTTGGTGATAGTGAAATTGATGCATTGTTATCAATGCATGCATAATAATATACATGTATATAAGAAAATTGGTGTATTATAGTTTACATCGTTTGGTTTATGTGATAGTTATTCAAATACTAAAATAAGTTATATTACTTTTTGTATGAAATGTCACTTTTTCCCTTCGTTTTTAATATTAAAAAAGAAACGCACATAAAAATGTAGGGACATAGTTGGAACAAAACAAAACCCAACAATCTCTACCAAAAAATCTCAACCAAAACTTGAGATTTCTATCACTCATTTTGAGTGATAGTTTGTGTCAAATCAAGCAAACAATGCATGTATTTTTTGTGCAGAAAATTCAAAAAAACGATGCATATGCATATATTGTAACTATCTCAATCAAACTATCACCAAAACCAAACGACCCCTATATGTACATCAAAGCAAACAATGCTTGTATTGTTTGTGTAGAAAATTAAAAAAAAAAAAAGATGCATTTGTGAACAATATAAGCATTGTAACAATCTCAACCAAAATATCACGTGCCAAAACCAAACGATCCCTTACTAAATGTATAAACCAGTTCAAATAGGTTGAACCCCGACCAAATCATTCAATCTCAAACCACTTTCTTAATCTGCTCAAACACAGCTTACTCAAATAATCTACCATATAGACACTTTCTGATAATTGCATAAGAAAGCATACACAATTACAACCTTCGAATTATTGACCCCTCCATAGAGTACTACACGCAACTCTTCCACTAATGTATGACACTTACAAGTTTCGATGTGTAGAAGGATCAATAAATGACGAGATGGGATGCAATGCACTACAAACTACAATGAAAGTAAAGAGTATGAAAACAAACATGAAACAAGAGTATGAAAAGACTTTACATGCAGTAAATGTGTAGATTTATCGAATGTTATCAAAGAGACGAAATTTGTACGAAAAATCTTTATAGGAAATGTGTAGGTTTATCGGATATGTCACCAAAGAGACAAAATGGTTAACTTTATATTGTATTGTGTTGAGTTTAAAAGAAGTAAATATGAAGATTGCCGCAATACAACTTTCCAATCACAAATAACTTTCTATGAAAAGAAATTATGGGTATTGAATTAGTCACTCACGAGGCACAAATAATACGTTGAATTAGATACTAATTATTTTTTTTTTATAAATGAATCCCCCAAATCATTGTGTTACATTCACTCAATCAAACACCATTCCCATAACATAAGAAGAGGGGCCATCATAAAATAATAATGTCATACTTGGCATTCCTATTATTTTATTCACTAAGCTTTATTTCATTATTTGTCTACTTCTTAAGCAAAACAACCTCCACCACAAGTACTCAAATAACAGGCGACAACATAGCATAGAATATTCACACAAATTATTTTTTTTTTAAAAGTCATCAAATAAATATTTATTTCTTAAAAAAATAATAGAACACCAAGACCACCCATGTGAGATAATTAGTAGATGTCCAATTAACTAATTTCCTTTAAAAAAAATAGCTAAATTCACTGTACAATTGAGGCAAATAATTTTTCTGCTATAAAGAGACGCTTAATAAATTATTAAAATGCATCTTAATTTAAAGCAGCAAAATGAGTGTGACGCGTTAATTGTCGGGTTTACCGTTTAAGTACACGCATGATGATGAATGGAAGTATATTAAATGGTTTTCCTTAGTAGACAAAAGAGCATTGACAAAAATTTCAAGCACATAGCCATGTTAGCATAGCATGACTAGCAAATATGAACCGTCTTTTATTCCTTAAAAATGAAAATGAAATAATTGCTTAGGAAGACAATCTTACTAATCTTTAACGGAATGCGTTAGGGTGACAACTAAAATTTTAGTAGAAACCTTGACTACATCACTATCTGCCATTTATTTTTCTTTGTTTTAATGTCATAGTTAAGATTGCTTCAGGGTAATTTTGGAAACAAAAAAAAGTTCACACCCGATTATTCTATATATTCTATCCAAATCCTAATTCTACACTGCCCTTCCTCCAGCCAAATCCTACTTCATCGACGCCGGGCGCCGGCTGCCCGCACTCCATCCCACTCTCCTCCGCTGCCCTCTCTCCCCTCCGCCCACCTCCCTTCGTCGGCCATCCCTCCCGATCCTCTCTCTCTTCCCATCCATTCTTCCTCTACAGGAGACCCCAATGGCGGATACATGTATGGTTGGACACCCCTAAAATTTGGAAACACGATTATTCAACCTATGATAGTAATTTCCATATGAGGAAAAAAAAATGTTAAGTGATAGTGGGACACCTTTAAAATTTGGGAAAATGATTATCCAATCTCCCGTAGTAGTTTGCGTATTGGTATAAATAATCTTTAAGTAGTAGTTTATGTGATTTAAATTTGGGACACTGCCACTATTAGTTAATATATTTTCAATTACGCTACAACTCATTTGTTATTGTGTTTTAGATCCAAATATAATAGTAAAATGTTATTCTTATCTCAAATTATTTTCAAAACGAAATGATTAAACTCAATTACAGGATATCCTTGTCTAGTAAGATATGTCGAGAGATATTTGTTGAGCAGTATAAACACCGAATGCATTTTATCATTTGATGAAACACATCTGAACTTTTAATGAAACTTTTATTAGTTAGATATTTTTATATTTAATAATTATTTAATTTAATTTTTTATAGAGGACACCCCTACGTAGAGTTCCTGGATCCGCCACTGGGAGACCCTCCCCACTACTGTATACCTAAAACCCTATCCCCTTCTTCTCTCTTCCCATCCATTCTTCCTCCGCAGGAGACCTCCCCACTCCAGTATATCTAAAGGCTAAAACCCAATCCCCTCTCTCTCCTTACTTATGTTCTTCTTCAGCAAGACAAAAATGACGGTTGGGAAAAAGAAATTTTTTTGGGGAACTCGACTAGAGAAGACGACGTCTAGTTTTTTACTGGTATGTACTTTTTTGCATTGGTAGTGTTTTTTCGTAATGGTAATGTTTTTTCGCATTGGTATTGATTATTATGTAATGGTATTGATTTCCATGTATTGGTAGTTGGTTAAATCTACAATGGTATTGGTGTTTTGTGAAATGATAGTGGTTTTATTTCTCGAATTGTATTGGTGCTTTGTGCAATGATAGTGTTTTCTTAATGGATTGATATTAATTTATTATTTTATTGTAGTGGTATTATTTTTTTGATAACGATGTTATTGTATTGGTAGTGATCTTCATGTATTGGTATTATTTTAATCTGCTATGGTATTGGTTAATAAGTAGTATATGTTGTGGTAGTGCTAGTGTATTTACGTTTTGGTATTGATTTCTTGTTTTTTTCTGTAATGATATATGTGTTTTTTTTTAAATGGTAGTGATTATCATGTAATGGTATTGTCATAATCTACAATGGTAGTTGTTAATCAGTGGTAGTGTTTCGTGTAGGCTGCGGTGGTAGTTGTTAACGTTTTGGTATTGGTTTCTTGTTTTTTTATTTTGCAATAGTATTGATTTTTTTGTGAAATGATATAGATTTATATTGGTAGATTGTTTATATTGGTAGTTTTCGTGTAATGGTATGGATTGGTAGTGATGTCGTGTTGTTGTTGTTGTTTTTTTTTTTTTTTTTTTTTTTTGCAGATAGATTGAGAAAAAGAAGGAAGGGGATCTGGCTGGAGATTACGAAAGTGAGAGAAAGAAAAAGAATTGTAATTAATAGATTTTTGTAACAATCTAAAATAAATTTATTTAAAAAATTAATTAATACAATTTATTTTTCCATACCCAATTTATCATTAATAACCATGGTGCTTACTACTCACCGTAACCTGTCCCATGCAATGCATTATCGAGATATAATGGTTGGGAAGTCATAAGTACGTAGTTAGGTTAAGTGCCTAATGCATTTAACAATCAACCTTGCAACTAATAACATAATAATAATAATATCATAATAGCCGGCAAAGGCAAGCATGTTCGTTTCATAAAGCCAAACCTCCAACTCAGCATGTAACCCTCTAAGGTAGAACAATTATCCAGCTAGATTCCATCAAAGATATTGGAAATCACATTGGAGATTCAACAGACATCTAAACTACAAACTGACAGCATACTCAAGCCAGACAAAACACAACAGTTCATCGCATCAGACAATGTCCAGCAACAACACAAGGGATCGATCGAGAAGCTGAGTTTTAGTTCACACACCAGTTCATTGATATCCTTACATGTATTCTGCCAGTAATCCAGTTAAGCCAACAATTCGACAACCTACATTTAATGAAATCTCAGAGTACAAGAGGTTTGAACCATACCATTTCATATTACGTCCATCTAAGCATCCGTTACAGATCTTAAATATCTAATCTGATACAAGATCTTATACAAGACTTAATGCAAAGCTATATAATAGCACAAGAAATCTGGGCAAGATTCACCAAAGAAACTAAGGAAGAAGGTAATCTATACCTCACCATCCATCAGTTCAAAACCTGTTCTATATAATTTGAAAGCTTTAAAACGAGTAGAGTCCGTTGGTTCCTGCTACCTAGGCCAAGAGTTCGTACTAAGACTGCAATCAAAACAAGCAGGAAACTGGAAAGCAGCAAGAACAATTGATGCACACGGCAGGGCAAAGGGAAAAGATGGTTCAGTTACTTTTTTCAGTTTCCTCACTTGTCGTCAAAGATACAATGGCTTAATGGCGCACGAAATAAGGGCACCTTGAATCAGCATAGATACGTTGAAATACCATTACCATCAATAAACCATTTTCTGGAGGATGAACAACAACAACCCTACTAAATTCCCTCCAAGTTAGATGGGGCATTTTCTTCTTCTACCAGGGGACTTACATATGCAAACAATACGCACAGAAAAAGACCCCCCAAAATAAACTACACAAATTCATATTTAGTCACAAAAGGAGAGCAGGCATCATCACCAACAACAGTAGTAGTTTCTTCCAAAAATTTATTGACATTTCATTACCCGCATTAGACTGTAAGTTGATAATCTTGGCCTTCACCCTCCCTAATCAGCACCTCCAAGCAGAAGCTGATATGAGCTCTCTCCCCTGCCAATACAACACAAGGAAGGCATGTCGCTTCTCGACGTGGAACCCCCTCACTTGGGCCCTCTTTAGCACGCACTCCGCTTGAGTCTCGGTGAAGTTGCTAAATGGCACAGGCGAGAATCCAGAAGAGGCAAATACCGTCTTCCAATTGGGCATCATCTTGTCGGGCCCACGAAGTCGCCCCAGCACAGTGCTCTCGATTTTAGGCTGGAGCAGAAACCTTTCAATCTTGTTCAGAGCATCACTAGTCACATTAGCAGCATCCAATGATTCAAATAGGTTAATGTAAGATTGGAGAGCATGAAGCACATGTTGCGGAAATGAAAGATCACTACGATCACTCCCTCGGTCCAGTGACACCACAATCTTCGGATTAAGCTGCTTGATGAGGCGGAGCAATGAGGGCAATGCAGATGGTTGACCGGAAGCTGCCCAAACAGGGAAGTTGACCGCAATAGCCTCATTCTCGCTAGCTCGGAATATCGGAAGAGAGAAGCAACTCTGCTGATCCAAAGAGTCAAAATTGATCACATCAAGCTCGAAGCTTATACCTATCTCATTGGCGAATTGTGTCAAATTTTCTTGCATAAGGCCAAGCTCGATAGGATGGTGAGTTGAAGGAGAGGCAAAAGCTGTGATCTTTAAGGAAGGTGTAATGCCTCTATTCCGAGGTAGCTCCTGCATGAAGGAAGCCCATTGAGCGCCAAACCCAATGTCGAAGTCGACTATGTGGATTCGGTCTGCATCTTCCAGGGACTCCAGTATAGCCTGGTTGCAAGTGAAGTTGATGAACTGGATGAGTGGGGAGACCTCTGAGAAGACCTTGTAAGCGCCCATCTTGAAGATTACATCAAATGGGGTTGGGGTTCGAGGCATGATAGGATGGCTGTTGACCAGGTTGTTGTTAACGTTGTTGTGACCGAGTGAAAGCTGGAGAGCCTCCTTGAAGTAGAAAGCTGCCCTATAGAGAGGCTTCCCAATTGGGGAGAGCTGTTGGTGTTGATTGAGCCGCGCCAATATCCCTTGCGCGTGAGTGAAGTTCCCTGTCCCTACCATCTCTGCTGCCTTGTAGAGCTGGTCAAGCAATTCGTGCTGCTGCCCTCCACCGGGGTCTTCCTTCTTCCCCACCAGGGTGTTCTGCTGAATGCCCTGGTGATGTTGTTGGAGAAATGGAGGAAGCCCGGGAGGAAATCCGAAATGCTGCTGCTGCTGGAGATGATGTTGTTGTTGCTGCTGCTGCTGATGTTGCTTCCTGAGAAACAATTCATGATGCCCAGGATCTGAAAACGGCAGCTTTGGCATCATTTGAGAAATGGGTTCCATCCTACCCCCAGAATTCTGCCTCTTGGGGTGAGGAAGCTGATGATGATTCTCAAACGGCAGAGGCAGGAAAAAGCTTGGAGCTTGAGGAGAATTCAGTTGGTGTTGATTCATCATAGGGTTCAGAACATGTGGCTTCTCCTCCTGCTGCTGTGGGTGATGATATTGCATAGTAGAAGGAAGATCATTACCAACGCTACTATTATTAGGTTTGAAATGAACCAACCCAGATGAAGAAGAAGAGCTGGGAGACACCAAGCCACCAGCAGTTCTGCCATTCCCATGAGCTCCGACAAACCCTGAAGCAGGGAAAGCACCCAAATTGGGACCAATGCTGGAAACCCCAGCTCCAATTCCCCCAATTGAATCAAACCCATTTCGGTGTTCAACCATCCCTAATCCTCCAGCACCACCGCTGCCGCCATTGCCATCGAAATCCAACGGATTGTTGTTGCTGTTGTTGTTCTGGAGGAGTTGCTTGAGACCAAACGAGGAGTCGTCGACCTCGCCGGAGATCCACCGAAGTAGGGACTGTTCCTGAGTGGGCTCCGACAACATGTTCTCCCAATCGTCCAACCCTAGACCGCATCTGGAAGAAACAATCTCGAGTCCCGCTGGGATTGGCTGCAGCTCATTAGCCCACTCAGAGGCCTTTTCGCCGGCAGTCGGAGTGGCGGTGGCAGTGTTGTCCCCACCGCCGCCGCCGTTGTTGAAGGAGGAGGAAAGAGTGGAAGCCGATGTGGGTGGGCTTGGACTCCTTCTCATATGAAGAACTGAGGTGGGCTCTGTGCTTCCAAAGCTATGAACTTTCTCCTCCTCTGGACTCTGTTCAAGCAGCTTCCAAGCTTCTTGCTGAGAAGAGCAAATCGTTGCGAAACCAGCTGCAGCTGCAATATCTAAACCCCCCTTCCCCTGCAATTGGAAGGGCATCCCTCTCATATATTTACCACAGCCAGTCAAAATAACAACCCTCAGCAACCCACCAAAAAGAAAGGGAAAAAAAGAACAGGGGAAAGAAGAAAAGAAAACAAAAACTTCTGTTTTTGTTTGTTTTAGAGGGAGAAGAAGCAAGATTTGTGGAGGGGGTGAAGATGGGTTGTGCTCAGATTTGGAGAAAACACCAAAAAGAAAAGGAAGTAGCTTTCTTTCTTCTTTCCTAGTTGTTTCTCTATCTCTCCTTGCATGCCATCAAGCTCTCATCTTTGGAAGCTCTATCCTTCTTCCTCTGCTACCACTTTCAGCCATTTTTTTCCTTCATCAACACAACCTTCTTGATCAGCTCCATACTCCTCCTTCTCCAACAACATCTTCATACCTTCATTCCACCTCCTTCGTGGCTTCTCTTCCTTTCTCTCTACCTCTCTGCGCAATCTGTGGGCTGTTGCTTCTTTCTTTTCCTCCTTACTTCTGTGTTTTCTTTAACTATTGAAATATCTTCTTTTTTTTCTTTGCAAAGGAAAAGGAGAAGGGGAAAAAAAACTTGTGTTATGTCGCAGCAGCAGTACTGTGTACCCTTCTTTGTTCTGCCATGGATGCGTGCATCATGAAAAAGGCAAATAAAGTGTCCCCTCCTCCTCGCCTCTCTCTCTCTCTTTACTTCTCTTTCTATCTCTAGTCCCTATCTGTTGCTCTCTCTCTCCTCTTTAGTTTATTTGGGGGAGGGAAGGGAGCACTTTAATTCTGATTTTTCCAGAAATAGCATTGTTTAAAAAAAAAATCCTAAAATAGCACCTAAGTCCGAAAAATTCCAAAAATAGCACCCTTTTCCAAAAATCGCTTCCTATCAGTGCGGTTTAGGCGAAAACCGCCACCCAGGGGCGTGTTTTTCGATGAAAATCGCACCCCCACCATGCGATTTGGTTGAAGATCGCACCCCCAGGGTGCGATCTGTTTTTTTTTTTTTTTTTGAAAAATCCTAACCTAGGTGGAAACTTCAAACGGACGTATCTTTGTGTTCGGGTATCCAATCGTCGCAAAATTTTTTTTGAATCCGCATAACTTTTTGAGATCTTGCAAGCCAAAGGTGGTTTGGTCCCGCCTTCATCCCAAAAAATGTCGTTTGCTACCCCGAACGAGCTTTTTCCCGATTTCGTCAAACTTTGGACAACCATAACTTTGTGCTCCAAAATCCAAACAACAAGAATTTTTTTTTTATTTCGCATAACTTTTTAAGGACTACAACTTTTATCATAGACACAATTTCAAAATGTACGTGGATTGCTGAGAAGGGAAGGTAAGCTATTCCCAAAATCCTGTATATCCAAAAATAATTCCTGTTTTGAAAATTCATTCTAGTAAAAATTGTAGTCCTTAAAAAGTTATGCGAAATAAAAAAAAATTCATGTTGTTTGAATTTTGGAGCACAAAGTTATGGTTGTCCAAAGTTTGACGAAATCGGGAAAAAGCTCGTTCGAGGTAGCAAACGACATTTTTTAGGACGAAGGCAGGATCAAACCACCTTCGGCTTGCAAGATCTCAAAAAGTTATGCGGAATAAAAAAAAAATACGCGACGATCGGATACCCGAACACAAAGATACGGCCGTTTGAAGTTTACACCTAGGTTAGGATTTTTTTTAAAAAAAAAAAAAAAAGCAGATCGCACCCTGGGGGTGCGATCTGCAACCAAATCGCATGGTGGGGGTGCGGTTTTCATCGAAAAACGCGCCCCTGGGTGGCGGTTTTCGCTTAAACCGCACTGGTAGGGAGCGGTTTTTCAGAAAGGGTGCTATTTTTGGAATTTTTCGGAGTTGGGTGCTATTTTTGGAATTTTTTTTTAAACAGTGCTATTTCTGGAAAAATCCCCCCATTTCACTTCTTTCTCTCTCTGTGGTCTGCCTCTCTCTCTCTCTCTCTCCTGCTGCGGCCTGACTCTGTCTGTCACCTTTCTACAGTGCTATCACTGTTGAGTTTACAGAGGAGGGTAAAAAACTATAAATCGAAAAACTCGAATTGTTTTAAGAAATTTTCTTTTTCTGGGTACGCCAAAGAAAACAAAAAAATTGAATTGGAAGCCCCAGAAACCAAAAACAAAAAAGGAAAAATCTTCTTCCCTTCCCACCCTCCGCCAAAAAGTTTCCCGGTTCCCACCAATATAAGCCAATTTGTGATTTGGGGTCCACTCTTTTCCCACCATTTTTACAGGTCAGAAGCTCCTAAAATGAAAATTTAAAAAATAAAAAAGAAGAAGCAACTGGACATATCTTTTCGTCTGCCGCCGAACTTACGTCGGGTACTGCTAACTTGACCCGGTTGGAGTCCTGACTCATCAGTCATCGCTCACGGGTCTGACAGACTTGGGCTCGGGTAGATCTTCTACAATAAGGCCCAGATTATAGGCCCAGCTCAAAAATGGATTTCATTCTTAGGTCAATGCTGTTAGACTTTTTGTTTTGGTCGCTCTTATAAGATTTAGCATTTTAGGACTTCACTTGGGAGTGATCTTTTGATGTTGAAATTAAGTCTCTTTCACTTGGTTTGTGCTACCAGTTGCTTCGTCAGTCCGGAAGGGACTATATGAATGATCCAAGTTCAATAGGCCTGAGTGATGGTTGGTAGGTCATTACGAAGTCTTCGTCATTCATGCACTCTTTCAGTTTATTGGATGTTGATGTTCATTTGAAATTTGCAATGTTAGTTTCATTTTAATATGTTTTTATGTGTAGGACGATGCGAGAAATTGAGTAGGAATCGTTAAGAGTATCAGACATTAACATTTGGTATTCGAGTGGATCTAAGTGGCTTGGCACATAACAACTCCAAACACAAGAGTAGGTATGTGTATTTTCTACAAATAGATATACTTTGGATTATGTTTACCTTGTTCAACTGATTGATCAACAAAGAGGCATCTAATGGCATTATTGGACTGAATCTCATCTTTAATATTACGAGTCATTAAGTAAAAGTTTGTGTGTTGAGTGTGTAGGACGATGCAAAGAAATGAATAGGAATGCTTAAGAGTATCTTATTGCATTAACATCTAATAGTAGAGTGGATCGTGGGTGGCTTATTTGCAAGTTTGTTCAGTATGTTATTTCCTCACTTCATATGCTTATAAGTTATAATTTAACCTCACTTCATTGCTTTTTTAATGTAGGATTGCAAAGGAGTTATAGATTATGAGTGGATTAGAACATCGTAGAAACTTAATGTGCTCCTTCCAATCAGATATGGCATGGAAAATCTATTCTGCGCTACTCACATTTTCAAAAAACGAGATTGTCGATACAGTTTTCGTATTCTGATGAATTTGGAAAGGAAGATGCAAAGCTACTTATGCTTTGGTATTATTTCAAACTCAAGTTTTGTTTCGACAACTAACAGCGCAACTAGAGGAATGAAAAACAACGGAGGGACAGAAAGCTTGGCAATCCACAGGTGTACAGAGATCATCGGCACATCCTAGCAATCCAACAGGATCTCGAAGGAGCCATTCAGATGCCACATGCAATGGTATCCTGGTTAGATTTGACGGAGCCATGAAAAAAACCAAGGAGGCTCAATCGAATTTGATGGATTATCAGGCAACGGTACGTTATCCTATGCTTTTGGTAAATGTTACGAAGGAATTTCGGAGGCTTACATTGCCTAACTTCTAGCTCTTAGAGATGCTATGAGATGGTGCTTAACACATAATTTTTTTATGGTTACATTTTGTGGAGATGCTCAATTGGTTATCAGGCACGCTATGGCAAAGAACACTTCACATTCTCGTGCAGGGGCTGTCTTGGAGGAAGTTCATTCATTTTTCTCGTTTTTTGAGTCAGTGTCATGTCATTTTGCTTCTCTGAGCTTTAATAGAGCGGCTCATATAGTGGTTGAACAAGCTATTTCATCGGGAATCCGCTTGCTTACGGATTACCGCCTTTTTTAGAGTCCTCCTTGTAACCGAGTCGAGTATTTGTCTCATGGCTTTCGGGCTTTCCTTGAAAAAAAAAACAAATATAACAATTGATAATGTAATTTGGTAATTCGATCCATTAATCAACAGTTGAAAGTCCTAGACTTAGAGCCCAAATCACTTCAATGTAATCAAGTATAAACAATATACAATAAGACAATATTCTCAAACACTCTCGCTAAGTTTGCAATCTTTCTTTCTCAAACTTAAATCTCAGAAAGATTCCTAGCCTTGTATGCCATGAACTTGTGCAAGTATTGCACCGACTTTTACCCATACAATGTAGATGCTCATGAAGTTTTTCTTGATTATTCTTCGGCTTTATTTGTCTAGATACACAAATCTAAAAGTTTAGAGTATCATTTATTTTATTTTTCAAAACGAAAAAAATTATATTCGTGGATATTTGCCCGAATTCGATCTAATTGGGTAGTGTAAAATCTGATAGCAAATTTTTTAATGGGTATGGGTAAAATTAAAATTAGAATATTGAGGATAATTGGTGAACATGATTTTCTCGTTATCCAATCCGAATTTATCCGTTTTTACATATGTGTATGTATTTTGTCTAAAAGTTATCGTTTTTCCATCATATTTGATATTTGCTATACATATATACTTGTTCATGAAATTTTGTTCTCCTTAACTAATTTTCTCCATCCTAGTGAGTTATTGTTGAAGTTTTTCATTTAAGTCATGTTAATATATTTTTTATTGTTGACATGTTGGCTGAAATTATGAAGAAAAATCATTATCTATGGAAACCCAAAATATGATAAGATAGGTGCATGATTTTTGATTTCTTACCCAATTCTTATGTGATATGTGTATGGTAAAACCTAAACTATTTTCAGTAAGTCAATAGATATGCACTATGTGCTCTCAGAAATTAATCTCTTTGGACTTAAAATTAGGGCACATAATTTGATCGTAGCCTAGTGGTAAAGGCTGTGTCTCTTTATAAACAAAGGGAAGCAAGTTCAATCCCTGCGGCATTTTCTTTCTCATTTTTACTTTTCAGTTTTCACTCTTACCCTTGAACATTTTTTTTTGGTAGAACCCTTCAACAAATTTTAAGAGAACTTGCATTAAATATGTATTATTTCACTCTTTTTTTTCTACTAAAAATTAAAAGAGAGAATTTTCATATAATATCTAATGTATATTAGAGAAAGTTCTGAAAAAATCTTAGTATCCATTTTTAAATTTGAATCTCGTTTCCTTTAGTATTTATTATTTGTACCGCTAGATATCTTACTTTGTTTTGATTCATTCAAAATCTAGTTTTATTAGCAAATATTCATTTTGAATTGTGAAAATAACATAAATTTGTTAAGAAATTTATAATAAATTTCTTAATCTTACCATGAAAATTTAAATTTTATATATCACTTTTTTTACGAAGTAAAGAAATGCGTACAATTATTCGATTTTGGCCCCGTTGCAAAAATCCTGACTTCGTCCCTAATCAAATTCATTTTTTTTAGAAAAACATCAAATTCATTGAAAACACATATTTGTTGGCTTTTAAAAAAAATTATTCAACCTCTTTCCGTTTTTGTACAAATAAAGAACCTCTCTCTATAGAAATGTACCTACCTAGCTAACTCATCGAGTGA